CCTTTGTATGCCAGTGGTAGTGTGACAACCAGGTTCAGGACAGGCACGGAGAGCTGGGGCCCAGAGCCTGGCAGCCTCCTGGACCCCAGCAAAGTTGCGCTTTGGGCTCGCTCTGACATCCACTGCAGTCGCTCCACCGCCCTCCACCACACACCCTCTGTGCTGCCGCCCTTATATTGTCCGCCTCCGAGCTCCGGTGTGTCCACTCACTCAAGCCGGCACCATCCTCCAGGTGCCCACCATCACGCATGCGTGCCCCGAGCCCACTCTCCCAACACCTCCTGCTTCAAAGCCACAGGTGATAGTCACAGAGGCCAAGGCTGCGAAGCCTGAGCTCGTCTTCATTACCCTGCATTCAGCCAAACAAGCAAACAAACAAAAATCAACAAAGAAACAGGAGACTTGGACAAAACTGTAGAACAAATGCAGCTAACAGATACACACAGAACATTCCAAACAACCACAGCAGAATACACATTACTCTCAGGTGACAAAATAGTCACAGGATAATTCATCTGTTGGAGTGCATTACGTCTTCATGCATTTGAGAAGACTGAAATCAAACTAACCTTCTTGTCTAACCATTGGGAACGCTGAAAATTAAACAATAGGCACATTGAGGAAGAAAGCAAAAGTGAAAAATAAAAATACACCTGTGAGTTTCCTCTTTTCCCCCTGAATCTTTCAACTTTGAAGGAAGGAAAAACATTTTGTGGGAGTGTAGAGTAGACCCCCCCCCAAAAAATAATCCTGGATAAAACCAGTCTGTTTTTCCTGTTGACGTGTAGAAAGAGGATTTCCCCACTATCCTAAAATAGTGAGGAGAACCCCTGTTTTCTTCCCCTGTCATTCTCTGTCCTCCTGGGCATGGCCCGCGGGGCACCACTGCCACAGAGGCGAAAGAGATGCGAACCCCTAAAACGTCTTGAGAAAATATACTTGTGTGGCCACAAGAATACAGAGCAGGAGCTGGTGTGTTCCTCAAACTTGGAAACTCATGACCATACTCTTCACTTTTCAACTTTTATTCCTTGCTATTTTCCTGTCAATCTTCTATTTTTCTGTCAATCTTCTTTATGCATGGACAGCATAAAGAATACCAACATGTTCCACAAAATTTGTGGTCGGAATCTAATTTGGGGTATTGTTTTGCTTCATGATAAGCAAAGTCAACCAACATCTTTCGGAAAATTTTAACAGGACTCAGTATCTCACACGTAATATTCTAAAAACACAGATTACTAATATAAGTTACAGACAAGAAAATACTTGCAAATCTCCTTTTACCCAGGATATATTAAAGAAATCTAAAATTTCAATAATTTGGAGAACAAACAATTGTTAAAATGGGAGGGAAGAAGACAAGTAGAAATTTAACCAAATTAGAGTTATGTGTGATGAATAAGCACATGAAATCACCCTCAGCATTAGGGAAATGCAAAATGAAGCCACAAGATACATTCACATAATAAATGCCTGTAATCTACAAGACCATTGTAGAACTTAATGAAGATGCAGAACTGAAACCTCATCCATTTGCTAGATGATACAACCACTTTGGAAAGTATTTTGACAGTCTTTCAAAATTGAATTTGCACTTAGCATATGATTCAGCAATCTCAAACCAAAATATATACAGAAAATGAAAGACTTTGTCCCCCGCACAACTGTCTGTAAATATTTAAAGCAGCGTTATTTCTAACCACGAAAATCTGGAAATAACTCAAATATTCTTCAACTCATCAATGGATAAGCACACGGTGATACAGCCATACAATGGAATGCTACTTGGCAATCTAAATTAACATCTACTGAGTCATAAAATAGCTAGGGTAAGTGTAAAATCTAAATGAGAGAAGCTGGAATCAAAAGATTTCATACAGAATGATGCCATTTGGGATGACATCTCTAAGGAAGGTAGAAAAAGGAAAGAGTGTTAAGGGTCAAGGCTGGGTGAGCATTAAATAAAATATAGCTGTGCAGAGGAATTGGGGACAGATCATACAATTGCACAGTGTTGATTGCTTTAGTGATGAGGTGACTCTTTTTGTCAAAACTATAACGTAAAGCTTAATCTTTCCTGAAAACTAAAAATCATTTCCTTCAGAAATGCCTGTTCTGTAAGTCATAGAAAACTTGAAACAAATAGAATTAAGAGTCTGGATGGCCAAATACATTGATGAATATATCCAAAATTAAGATTCAATCATAGAAGTAAGCATGGTATGATCTTATTTGCATGAAAATGAGTTAATACTATATTACACACAAAATCTACTTATATAAACTTAGAGAATGTCTCCTAGTGTAGATATGATACTATTGAGTATGGCCAATGTGAGTGGTGTGTACTGAGAATAGCTGGAAGTTCTTTACTTTTCACATATGTCATTGCTAACCGTGAAAATATGACTTACAAAATTTGGGAAAAGTGGTAAAGCAAAGACTAAAGAATAAACATATTTTGTCTGGCAAAATATTAATATTTCACCTGATAGATTGCATATTCATAAAATTGTTTGTGCATAATTGTTAGTGTTATGGCTAAGAGAGCATAATTAATAAAAACTTGACTGTAGTCATTGCTATTCACCAGTTAATAAATCATATAACTCATCTACTAGATAATTTCCTTTTACTGTTCAAAATTTATTTACCAATAATATACATAAAAATGGATGTATTTTAAAATACACACATGTGTATTTTTAAAACATGGACTTTAATAAGTCTATTGAACAGCAAAACAAAGTCTGCAAGAGAAATTGACCAATGCATTGCAACAATAAAATTCCCCTTTAGAATAAGGAAATTTTTCTAACACATGGAAATTCAGTGAGTCATCAGCTATGAGAAAACCCCACATCCCAAAAGGACACCACACATAATTACTAATTCCTCCTTATGGCTTGTGAAATCAATTGAGACCAGTTTTATGTTATTCTAAGTATTTCTAAAGAAGGCATTGTCCATTATTATATCTAGCTAACTTTCCAGAGAAGTATTTATAGTCCAGTGTCTAACTGAAATGATTTTTGACCCTCAAATTCATTTCTCCTAATGTGGGCTACAGTATAAAACCAAAATCCCTAAATAATTCACATCAATAGAATTAAGCTGCCTAGTGAAACTCTAAGACTTCAGAGGTTATGCTAAGATATGGGATGTATGGAATTAAGCTGAGTCTCAAAGTCATCATAGCCCTTGAGGCTGAGGTGGCTAGACACGTGATCAACACTCTAGTGAAGGGGTTATGAATATACAATAGTGGGTTTCCCAGGTGGCTAGGCATCAAGTCTCTCTGCTCTCACCACTACCTCCTGAGTTCAATCTGCCCCCCTCAGTAGTGGATTTCAGTAATCTGTCTGTTCTGCTCCCCACTCTGTCTCTGGTGAATCCTCTCACCGCCCCCCCCCCCTACACTTCTGGCCTATACAACAGTTCTTCTATGTTAAATAAATAACCATTTTAAAAATTCAAATATGCCATAGTGGAATGTTCAAGAGCCGCAAATGATGTAGGGAGAAAAGCAAATGATGAAAAGAAATTCAGATGGCTAAGGTGAGACACATAAGTGGGGTGCCTGGCTCTGTGCCAAGTGCTGAGATTTAAAGTGCTGTTTCCTTTTCTGTTAACCAATGAATAATGGTTCAGACTAGGAGGGCAGAGTCCACAGGGCTAAGGAACAATTGAGGACTGAGTTAGGCTGGGAAGGAAGCAGAGAAATTGTACCCACCAAATAAGACAA